GGGCAGAAGGCAGCAGAAGCAGCAAGTAACAAGTGATCAGGGATGCCAACAGCCCTCTTTATGTCCCTTATGTTATATTCAAGCTATACATCCTTAGGGCAGGTAGCACTTACACCCATGGTTGACCTTCCTGTTATCCATGTTCAGAATTATACCAAACCAATCAGTGGACTTATGTATTATTCACACATTCTCAGGAAGGCTCTGGGGGACATTTAGACACAAGCTATTACAATGCCTATAGGTTCAGTGAAGAATTATACCATAAAGATATAATTGGACAAAAAAGAGTGATCTAATGGTAGTAAACAGAGGTAAACCCAGCATGACCTTTCTGTTCAGATTCTTCTTGTCCTTTCTGTGCACTATTTCTTCTTTCTAGATATAAGGCAGGTCAATTCTGGAATGAGGATCTTAGGATCTGCTTTCAAATGAAATAGATCAGAGAATTCCTGAGTGACCTTGCCTCATTGACCTTGTTTCTGCAACTATCTCAACTGCCAAAGTGCCGTATTTGGGCTATCAAGTTCTGAACCCCAACATTTTGAAATAAGACACCCGTGTATAATGCAGGAAACACACCCTACACTCCTTTTGCATCCACTGCTGTAATAAGCAGCCTGTTTCAGCATGGGCACCCCACGGACATAGATGCAGGCTGCATGGAACAGCTAGATCCAGGATCTGGGAGGACTCAGAGTCTCCGTGGCAGGGATGTTGTTACCTGGTTCTGGGGCAGCCCCAGGGCCAAGTGCATGGTGTAGGCTCATGTGATGCAGGTGCCCATCCACCATCACTGGACTATGAATACCACGGCAAAATCTGAAGACAGGAACATGGGGTAGAAAACCCCAAAATCACATGAGAATGGAGCAGCTAAAGAGAAAAGAAGCCTCAGGAGAAGAAATGGGATAGAAGCCTCACAGAATGCTAAGGAAGGCCTCCCTCCCTGTGGTGATCCTGGCTTGTTCCGAAAACTGAGAAGTTAGCACTGACTCTCAATTGCCTGGATGCTTGTTTGTTCAAACAAGAAATCAAATTCACTGTCACCATTCCAGATGAGAGACAGGAACAGGGAGAATGGTTCTGCCTGTTTGTGTTTATCCCCATGGTGGGGAGTAAAAGTTGTTTACTGTTTTCATAAAAGATCCCAGGAGGTTTGTTTCCCTCTCCTGAGAGCACAGAGCACCCTCCCCACCCCTCAGAAATGCTTGGTCCCCTCCTCCCTGAGAATCTGTTTCACACTCTTGCCCCAGGACAGACACGTGGTACAGTGAATAAAAGCCTGGCTTGCCTTCCTGTGACTCAGTTTCCTTATCTGTAAAGTGGTATTACTGTACATTAGAAACCCTTCCCAAGAGGGCCACCAAGAGGAACTGATGTTTCATGCTCCACAGACAAAACAGAGCAGCCTACCTGCCTGGGGCACAGAAGGAGGCCTTGGGAAGGGGGTGCCTGGTCCAGGGGTCCCAGGCTAAGAGTGTCCAGGGAAACATGTGTTTGTGTCTCACACAATTTAAATGGAAAAGAAGATGCTGCATGAGATTTGCTCCAAACTCTCTCAGTCACTTGGATGTCTAAGTTCCTGGGTGCTGATGCAGAAATAGAGGCCTTTTCATGAGCTTTCTGTCCACCCCTTTTCTAACAATCCAAACTCCGGGATCACTGGAGAGATTATGGCCAAGTGGTTTGCATAAATGGAGAAAAAGAGAGGAAGAAAGGAAAAGGGAGGAAATAAAGAAGGGAAGGAAAAAGAGGGAGAAGAAAACTCAGATGGGCCTGTGAGGTCCATTTGTGCCTTCTGACAACACTGAAAATATGCCCTGGAGAAGTGATGGATGATAGATGACAGACAGATGATGGATAGATAGATAGATAGATAGATAGATAGATAGATAGATAGATAGATAGATAGATGCTAAGATTTTTTTTTAAAGTTTTAGGCACAAAGATGTTTATGCTGTTCTTAAAAGTTTAAAGAAAAACAAATAATTCAAATATCCAACAGTAATGTTCAGAGGTATAACGCCTCTGCAGAATAGTAGATAACATTGTGTGTCTTATGATTATACAGTCACATCACAAATGTCTGTAATAAAATGTCACATTTTTAAAAGCAGAATAGAAAATTGAACAAACAGTGGAGTCAAGGAATTGCATTTCTTTCTAGCCTCTTTATACTTTGTAAATATCCTCTAACATATTTTATAATAGTGCATATGTGTGTGTGTGCTTGTGTGTGTGTGTGTGTGTGTGTATGCTTGTTTTCACAGGAACCAATTTAGACCCCTGAGCTTTGGGTTTGCCCAAATCGTGGGTCTAATTTAATCTTAACTGTGCTCAGATCTGCTCTCTTCTTTCTCTGTTAAACCTCGCCTGGGAGCCATGGTGGGGACAGACACATTCTTGCTGTGGAGGGCAGGAGGATGACTCTTCATTGCCTGAGATTCCAGCACCATTCATTACCCAGGACAGACCACTCACATTGCTGAGAGATAGAGGAGTCCTGCAGAGCAAGCAACAAATGGCTAAGTAATAACAGCCTTAAAGATTACCACTCAAATGGCAGACAAATTGATCCAGTTAGTTGTATGCAGCTGCCTGCCTAGAATTCCCCTGAACTGACAGCATGTGGCTTGCTGAGAGGCCCCAGTGCTTCAGAAATTGGCTACCATGCTCTTTGCTTCTTGCTGATGCTTGGGCCTGTTGCTATGGGACTTAAGACTTAACATGAACTGGGGGAGAGTTAGGACGCAGTTAAGGATTAAAAATTTGACCTAACTTTCTAACAGTGCAAGCATTAATTTAATACCAGAAAGGAGGGGGGGGGAGGAAGAGGTGGAGGAGGAGAAAGAAGGGGAGCGGGAAGAGTGGGAAAAAGCTGTATCATCAATCTGGCTGGAGGTCAGTTTCTATTCAGTTGTTAAAACTTACTTTTTATTGCACCTAAAATTCTTAACATGTATCTGGAAATTATTCAACCTCCTTTGTAATTAAAATTAGCAAGACCAGCAACTCTCAATAGGAGTATTCTTTAAATATCTGTCACCATTTTGAAGGCATCCATCCTTACAAAACCTGTAATTATAAGTTTTATTGTATTATACTGCTAAGTTTATTTTAGACTAGAAAAAAGGCCTTTTGGCTCTTTGGCCATAGTCAATGAAAACGGGCTGTACAAATGTATGAAGCTCAACAGATGAAAGAAGTCTGAGAAAATCTACTCCTTTTATGATGTATTTTCAGTGTGAACAAAGCTCTGCAGTGTAGGGAGAAGCACCCATAAGATTTACAAGTAACCAGGTGTCTGAACAGTGACCCCTTGAAAACAGATATGCCCGTGCCCTAACATGAAAATTTTAAATCTTGCATTGGACTTGAGGGCAGTGTGATTTGGTAAACTCTTACTTCTCTCCATAGACTCAGAAAAAGAGTCTTTATGAATTTGATTAAGTAAAAGGTCTCAGAATTATATCGTCCTGAATGACCACGGTGAGTTCTAAATCCAATGACAAGTGTTCCTATAAGAGATGGGAGAGGCCTAGAGAGAAGAGTAGAAGCCATGTGAAGAAGGAGGAAGAAAAAAAATAAAAAGGCGGATGCTGCAGTGATGTGATCATAAGCCAAGAAAAGCCTGGGGCCTCCAGAACCTGGAAGAAAATCCAAGGACGGATTTTCTCCCAGAGCCTTCAAAGCAAGCTTGGCCCTACCGACATGTGGATTTTAGATTTCTGGCCTCCAGAACTGTGGTAGGTTTCTGTTCTTCTAAGTCACTGGGTTTATGGTGATTTGTTGTGGCAGCCCTAGGAAACCAACCCCCAGCTGCGTGACTGAGACTCATTGCCTACTCCCTGAGCCAGTCTACCCTTTGTCAACTGGGGATGGTAGCACCTCGAGGTAGGGTTGTAATGAACCTTAACCCTAATGTCATATAAATAACCCGGTGCTTAGGTAGCACTCAATCACCAGTGCTTGCAGTTATATGTTGTTGTTAATGCTGCCAAGTTTACCAAAATTGAAGGAAAGCAACAATTCTACTCCCAACAGCTTGGAAATTCTTTGTTATTTCTTTCCCACGGCATGCTGCAATGGGCTGGTCTGTTTTTAACAAACAACCTGGTGATGGACAAGGCTTACTATACTGAGAGCTTGCCCTCATGGATTTTTTCTTCACTGGCCTCACCTTATACTGAGACACATGCTAGATGCTGAGTAAATATTAAACTAAAGAAAGTGGTCAAGGAAACGAGCATAATTAAGCTGGTGTTACAGTCTATTAACCTCTTTCATAAAACGGAAACAATGGGCTTTCCATAAAGGGGCCCTAACTTGAACTACCAGCTAGGAAATCTTGAGAGAGTGGAATCTGATTAGCTAGCCATGTTTCTCTCTCCAGAACTGTAAGCACAATGGACTCTCACAGGGAGAATTCTGATCTCTCTTTCTTGTTCGCATGTGCTTGAAGGGCATTCATTCATCTTTTTATTGCTAGTACTCCCCTCATTCAACCATTTTCACTTCCCTGAATTCCACCTGAGCCATTCTAGTCCAGGCTCCTAAGACCTCCCTTGGGTGATGGCAGCTAGCACCTAGCAACCTCACTCTTCCCTTACAGCACTCCAGTACATCATTTGCACACAGCTGACAAAGTAAATGAACATTTAAAAATAGAATCATTCCATGACAACTCAATTGCTTCCTTTCTCACTTGAAATAAAACTTAAATCTTGTTCAAGCCAGGATGTGGTCTGCTCCCTGCTTCCCCCCAGACTCAGTCACATCTGCCTACGTTGTGCTCCCCAGATGAACCTGTCTCTTTTCTTCATTTGGGCTTTCCCTCCAGGTAGTGGCCCTGTCTGCAAGGTGCCCCCTCTGTAGCCTACAGCCAACTCTTTCTGGAAACATAGCTCTTCTTTCCAGAGATTTCTTAAGCAAGGCTATCTTGGACCACCAACCACTTCCACCACCATGTTTAAATTTCTGCATCTCTTCTGACTTACCATGTTTGTTGACTTGTTCCTTTGGTTTCTTGGGAACAGAAACTGTTCATCTTGCCCACTGCTGCATCTCCACTGGCCAAAAGAGAACCTGTCTCATGGAAAGTGATCAGAAATATCTACTGAACATTAAAGCAGTGATTGGATGCTATTGCCTTCGTGTAGTAGTTCTCAGTTGGGAGTGGCTTTGTTCCCCAAAATGAACATCTGTCACTATCTGGAGACATTTCAACTTCTCAAATCCGAAGTGAGTGCTATTACAGTCTCGTAGGTAGGAGCCAGAACAACTCCACAGTGAAGAGCTGGAGAAAACCTGGCTTACCAACTGCCTACCAGATACAGTGTAAAATGCCATATATATAGCAGTGGGAAAACCCAGTGCTTCCCACATTAGCTTTTGTGAGTGAGGACAATATAATCAAACCACAATCACAGCATGTGATAACTGACCAATTCTTTACAGATGGGTCCGCAGTACTATGGAACACTTCAAAGTGGCACATAGTCCCGGAAGGAGTCCAGGAAAAATGTCCCCAAAGGACATAAAAGTGTTCTCTCCTATATCAGTGTTTCTCAAGCTTTCATTATCACATCCACATTCCACATCCATCCTATGACACATACAGTATTTTTTTCTCTAAGTCCACTCAGTTCTCACCCAAAGTTGTATTTGATTGCGGCATTTTCTATTAATCTATTTTTAAACTTTATCTTTTCTTTTTACAATTGACAAAGAAAAGTTGCATATATTTTTGGTGTTCAACATGAGGTTTTAAAATATATATACACCATGGAATGACCAAATCAATCTAAATAATACACACATTACATCATGCACTTAACTTTTGCAGTCTTTTAGCAAATTTTTCAAAAAAATAGTATATTATTTTAATCTTCATCAAGTGGAAAACCAGTTCTTCCAGCACTGTTTATGGAAGAGGCTCTTTCTTCCAGTGAAGGTGTTTGGCTCCTTTGTCAAAGATAAGGTGGCTGAGTGTGTCTGAAGGTATTTCTGCATTTTTTCATCTGTTCCATCGATCCTCAGGTCTGGTTTTTTGCCAGTACTGTGCTGTTTTTATCACAGTGGCTTTGTAGTATAATTTCCAGTCATGGATTGTGATGCCCCCTGCCTTGCCTTTGTTGCCCAGGATTGCCTTTGCTATTCTAAGTCTCTTTTGGTTCCGAATGAATTTTAGGATTGTTTTCTCTAATTCTGTATATCTTTCACCATGCACTAAACTAAAATCAAAATGGATCAATGATCTAAATATTAAAATAGAGACACTTAATTTGCTGGAAGATAGAATGAGTAGAAGTCCTGAAGACATTGATATGGGCAAAGACTTTTTGAACAAAACCCTGATTGCACAGAAAATATCACAAAGAAACAACTGGGATCTCATCTTATTAGAAAGCTTCTGCACAGCAAAAGAAACCACTAACAGAGCTAACGCAACCTACAATGTGGGAAAAAGTTTTTGGCAGCTGTTCTTCAGACAAAAGACAAATATCTAGAATATATAAAGAATTCAAAAAAAAATCAGACACCCCAAATGTAAAGACCCAATCCAAAAATGGGCATCTGAAATGAACAGACACTTCTCAGATGAAGAACTAGAAATAGCAAATAAATACATGAAAAAATGTTCAGTATCACTGGTTATTCAAGAGATGCAAATTAAAACAATGCTGAGATTCCATCTCACTCCAGAAAGAGTGGCTGCTGTCAAGAAATCAACCAATAACCAAGGCTGGGAGAGCTGTGGAGAAAAAGAAACCCTTCTCCACTGCGGTGGGAGTGCAGACTGTTGCAACTACTACAGAAATCAGTGTGGAGATTCCTCAGAAAACTAAAGCTAGAAGTTCCATTTGACTCAGGTATTCCACTTCTTGGTACATTACTGAAAGAATTAAAAGGATCATACCACAGTAATATATACACATCCATGCTTATAGCTATCACAGTTTATAATAGCTAAATTGGTGATAGCCCAAATGCCCATAAATCAACAAGTGGATAAAGATGATGTGGGTTTTTTTATACAATGGAGTACTATTCTGCCATAAAGAAGGATATGATAAATGGAGGCACCTTGAGGCCATATTCTTAAGTGAAACAAATCAGACACACAGGTGTAAATACCAAATTGTTTCTCTGGTGTGAGAAACCAAAAGTAGAAATAAGGACTAAAATGTATAATAGATATTGGAAATGGGAAGAAAATGTTCAAATGAGAAGGGGAACAGGGAGGGGGGAGGAAGACAGAAAAGAGGGGAAAGAAAACAGAGAGGATAGAAGGAAAAATGGAAACAAGTCTTCTGTACATAAGAAGGGGAAGAAGGGTTGAAGGGAGGGGGAATGGGAAAAAAAGAAGAAGCAAGATGTATCATGTACAGGTACAAATTCCCTATGACGAATGCTATCATCATGTATATCTAAAATGTACCAGTAAATGTTTTGCTTCAAAAAATATATATATTACACTATTGATAACTATTATTGCTGTCTTGTAAGAGATCTATTATAAAATAGTTTTATTATAGTGAGAGTCACACATCATACATATAATTCACCCATTTAAAGCAAATTTTAGTGTAATCAAAGATATGCATAACCCTTCCACAGCATTTTAAAATGTTTTAATGCCTACACACTCACTTTAAAAATGCTCATGCACCGCTCGCTGTGGGCATCATGCTGGCGGAGGTGATAGAAGGGATCACCTCTGGGAGAGCACTTGCCATCCAGCCTCCAGGGTACATACAGTCTCCAGAGTACCAGGCCCTGAGTCTACAGCCTGGACAGACAGGAATGAGTCCGGAAGTCCTAAGGAGCGACATCACAGGGCTTAGTGATTTGTGAAGAAAACTGGGGTCAGCAAGGAAGCCAAGTGTTTGGTTTGAGGCTTCCAGAGCACTGATTACGGTGGAACAGTCTTGGAAGGCAGGAGAAGTAACTCGGCTCCTGGGGGTGTGATCTGTCAGTTACAGGAAGATCCCTGTAGCAACAGGGAGCAGAGAATTCACGTGTAGGCCAGCCTGTCTCCCTGCACTCACACGCTGCCTGGCCACCCTCTGGAGTTAAGGATCCATCCAGGTCCTCCAAGGCTACTGCTCACTGCCTTCATCCTGTAGCAAGCTCAACGACAGTGTCACACTTCGTAGGAAACCAAGATGCAGACCCTCCATGCCTCCTTTACCATCCCTGGTGTCACCCTTCGAAGGGACAAGAAAATTTCCTTACAAGGAAACTTTACAAGTAAAATTAGTAAACTCAGCCTTTACATGTGATTAACATGATTTCTCCATTGGCATCATGTAAACAGGAGCACACTTGCCAAGTATGGAGCCCTCTTGCATGTTACGGAACACGTGATCACAGGGTCAACACACAGCTTTCATCTTTGCTCTTCTGACAGCAGAAAGTCTGAATTATTCTTTGACTCCATAAATCCAGTTTTTCTTCTAAAAGTACAGAACAACGAATCGTCCCAGCATTTGGCAGTCAAACTGGGCCAGATGTCTTCCTGCCCCATAGAGAGATCTCTCCTCATCTCTGACGTTGAGTCTTTGACCTCGGCCTCATTATTAAGGATTTTATCACTTAAGGAAGGTTTCAAACAAAACCAGCCTCTTCTTTACTGATAAAGGCATTTCCCTTGGTCTTATGTCCATAAAAGGAATTTGCCTGAAATTACCCCGCACCTGCTAAGGGTCTGCCTGGCTCGATCATCAGTCTTGAGAAAAATGCTCCAGACCTGCTGACCAACTAAACAGGCATCATTTGGCCCCTGAACACATTGACTGGACACACTGGGTGACAGAGCTAGTCCTCAGCCATCTTTCAAAGTGTCACGGAGCACACTATCAACTGCCCAGCACTCATTTCAATGTGCTCAGTAAGAAACATATCTAAGCCGTATTTCCAGTTAACGATGCATTATTTGTATGTTTTCTGATTTGCATCTCACAATATCCCCGAAATGGGCAATATCTACCAGTGACCCTTACCGAGCAAGCCTCAGGAAAGGCCAACCAATGCCTTGTGCCTCCAAATCTCTTCCTTGCACATTTCATACCCGGATGAGCCGTGGTGCCAGACAGAATAGGATGGAGGCCATGGGGAGATACAATCATGTGGCTTCAGAAGAGGTAATTAGCAAGGCGGATCATTCACATGCTTTAGAGGACGTCCAACAGTTTCATGATGAGAAAAGGTAGTACCTGATGTATGGAAGCTTTGGAGGTAGAAATCAGGAGTGAGACTCCTAGCTAGAGGAGCACCCCAAGCCTCCTCCAGTACCGAGTGAAAGAGGAGATACTATCATCTGTCATCTTCATTTTAAATGCAGACACTGAGATCCAAAAATTAAACAAAGAAATCATAAGGTCAGGAAACCATTTAAGACCTGATTATAACAGAAAATCAGCAGCTCAAGGTATTTCTATAAAGGATTGGCTGACTTGCTCCTGTAGCGCTATTTTAGAAACCAGACCAAATCGGGGATCAATTTAGACTGGAAAACAAAGACAAAGCCCTTTGGGAGGATGGTGAAAAGGAGCATTGCACTCCACACAACCGTTCCAAGGGAGAGCTTCCATGGGGAAGCAGGAAGGGCCCATCCCAGACTCTGACTCTGACGTTACCATCAGGAGATGAGGTCCAGGGGGAGTGGCCTTGGTTTCACCCCATGTTGTTGAGAGATAAGGGAGAGAGAGGAGCAAGAGGTGGGGAAAGGAGAGATCCAGTCCCTCACCCCATGGCCAACCTAGGGAGGACTCTCACATGGCCCCTGACAGCTGCTCATGGCCATTGCTGGCTGCAGGTTCCCAATCAGTGAGCACACAGAGATAAGAAGCAGAGGTCTGGAGAGACGCTGCCTTCGCCCACCAGGTCTACCAGGCTGGGTGAGTGGAAAATGGCAGCACCCTGAGCTTCCTGAGTTTCTGTCACTCACCAGGGAGGCATGCAGGGTGGCTACTGCCCTACAGGATGTTTCCAGCCGCTCCTGGAGGAAAGGAAGACCCTGGTTTGGAAACCAGATAAGAGTTCAAAGGAGGGAAAAGCCACCTCAGTTATCTCCAAGGATAAGAGCTTTCTCAAAAGTCCCTCATTCTCCAGAACAATGTGAGTGAACCAGGAGAAGTATTTGCAGTGCAGCCAAGGACAGCCAGAGAAACCAGCTTCTTCTCCTGGTTAACATCCAGCAGTTGCTTCTGCGCCATGACAGAGGGCGGGGATCTCCAAGGAATTCTCTTGAGTATGAAGGGGGAGGCATACCAGGGAAGTGGCATTTGGATTTGTCTGTGGCTACAATTTCCTTTCATGAATATTTCATTTAATCCGGTATTAATCATGGAGTGGTAATGGCTGTCTCTGTCTCCCCTGCTCTGTCTCTTTGAAACTCCAGCATCCTTTCCAGTTTCCCTTCCTCTTCTCTGTCTCTTCTGCTGTCTATTCTTTGTATTGTTTTTTGTTTTCTCTCTCTCCCTCATTTCCTTTTCCTTCCTCTACCCTTTATATGTTTATGCCCACTCAGTCTCTCTGTGTCTGTCTGTCTCTTTCTCTCCCCACGCTGTCTCTGTCACATACACACATGTACACACCCTCCATTCATCGTTTTCCCCCTGCCCCATGACTGAACTTTCTTAACCAGAAAATGTCCACTGATTCCTCAGCCACATGGCACATATGACAAGGCCCATTATAAAAAATCCATGAAGGGCTGGAAAATGCCCAAGTCCAGAAAGGCAGGAACTAGAGAAGACACTGTAGGCTTTACAAGGGCAGCCAAACTCTGGCCTGAAGGCTCCGAGATGGGCCTCCCAGGAATGGCCCATGGGCAGCCAAGGCTGGAATCCGGAAGGCAAGCAGACAACTGGGCTCTGGTGCAACCTTTCCCCCAGGGAACGAGGGGCCCAGGGAGCCCAGGGCCCTCTGGCTTGTGGGTTAGGTTAGAAAGTGCCTTTCCCAGGGCAAATCATGAAACCGATTCAGAATTGATCAAATCAGAAGGGCAGAGGGCACAGAGGGGAGACGGAGAAAGTTGAGATTCTATGGCTTTCTTCCAGAAAAGAAAGTGAGCAGGGAAGATTGTTGGTGCCTTTGTATGCAAAACCCATCTGACTTGTCTCCAGCCTTATCTTCCCTACATTCTCTTACTCAAGACTCAAATTTCCCCCTTACTTAAGCCAAATATCTGCATTCAAACAATATTTCAAATAATATTAAATGGCCAGAAGTTTCTTTCTCTTCTAATTCACCAAATTAAGTCATATATCATGTAGACTTCCCCAAAAATCTTGAAAGCATTAGTTCCAAGTGGGGAATACTAGAATGTTTTTGCTTTTATTCCAATTTTTCACTATAAGTATATGTTGTTGTTGTTGTTGTTGTTGTTGTAAGATATAAATTTAATAGTTGGCAAGCATCTCATAAATTCTAGGCTGGGCTGGGGGTAACTCAGCTGCTCCCCTGGGATCCCAGTGATACCCCATCACATTAACTACTGCCTCCCAGAATTACCAAGACCTTTCCATGTCTTTACAGTCATCATCTTAGCTTTTAAGTGCATCCTTTTATACTCAGTTTTTTATTTAACCTCCACAAGAACGCTGCAAGTAAGGTGACTGCTTATATTTCATAGGTGAAGAAAGTGAAGCTCAGAGAGGCCCGGATGTGCCTATACTCATATAGTGCTACACTCAACTCTCAGACATATCTCTAGGCTCTTCTAGCTCTTGCACAGGGGGAAGGATGATCACAAAACTTTTCTCAATAACTCCACTGATCCCCAAAGGTAGAGTGCTTAGTCTTCAAGGGAGAGGATCGAGAACTAGGTCTGCATGAGTCCAGGCATATTCATAATACAGAATGAGCTGGGGTTTTTTATTGGATCTATGCAAAAGACATGTCAGTTCTCCACACTCATTCCCCAGGTCTCTGGACACCTTTCTCCTATAGCTTGGTCAAGCCTCAGGTGAAGAACTTCTGAAGAAAGACTCTAATGAGATAAGTGTGTGCTTGAACCTAGGAGAGAGATACTAGTCGTTAAAGAAATATTTAAATGCCCCTTTATCTCACTCTGAACCAGCACAGTCCAATAGAATAAAATGTGGGACACATACATAGTTTAAATTTTGCAATTTTCTAGTAGCCCCATTTTTCAAAGTAAAAAGAGACAGGTAAAATTAATTTTAATGATGTATTTTATTTAGCCCAGTATATCTAAAGCATGATCGTTTCAACATAAAATCATTAGGAAAAAGTATTAGTGAGGCATTTTAGATTTGCATGGATTTTCTAAGTCTCAGCACCTTGCACCATGAATTCGCCACACTGCAAGTGCCCAGGAGCCATGTGTTAAACAGGGCAGCTCCAAGTCCTCCACATCGTGAGAGATTCAGAATACTTGGCCTCCTCCGAAGACCTAGCGTTAAGACAGAAAGGCTGGAGCAAGGGAGAGACTTTCGCACAAGTCTGTTAAATTCTTCTAGGATGTAACCAGATTCCAAACTCCTGGAGGAAAATCCATGTTTTCTCATTCCCTGTATGAGTGTGCTTCCTAACTTACATGGGACCTAGAGCTTTATAGGCATTTGAAATACACTTCCTGCACAACAGAGTGAGGTTTGGTCTTGCCTTCAGGGTCCCTGAACTCTTTCCCTGATTCTGCCCCAAGTAGCTGTGTAATCATGACCTTCTGCTAGGAACTTCTCTCTGGGCCTAATGTTCCCATCAAGAGCACACTCCTCTCTAGATTTCCTGCTCACTGACCCCTGCACGCCCTGAAATGAGTAACTCCTGGAATACGTGCTGAGGACCTGCTACAGACAGCACAGAATCTTTGCCTCCATCTGAAGCCCTCAGCCTGGGGTCCACAATTACAAGACGCCCTGCTGCATTTCATTTGCTCAGTGTATATAATCACCATGTTGGCGGCATCTCCACAGCCACGGGAAATTTAAATTGTATCTTCTGGATCTTAATATAGTGTTTCTAGACCATTTCACATGCAGATCCTAAGAGGAGGGCATCGCCTTGGCATGCTCAGCAGTTCCCTAATAACAGGGGGTGGGGACATGCCATTACTTAGGGCACAGGACAGCTGCTTCCCTGTGAGCTACTCACCGCTCAGGAGTAGGCAGTTGGGGGCACCTCGGAGCACAGGAAAGGGGCTTTTTCCAAGTGTGCTCCATCTGCCACTGTGGTCTTTGCAAAAGACATGATAAGAAGTGCTTAGGCAAGGTTCAGGCACCCTGAAAAGCTGGGCGGTACATTTGTTTATCTAACAAGAAGGTTGGGAGGAGGAATGCTGTCCTCTGGTACTTGTATTTACAGATGATCTTTCCTCACCTTCTCGGTGGCTAAGTTCTCCCCCCTCTTTAAAGCTCACTTGGATGCTACCTCTTCCAGAAAGTGTTACTTCACCATCCTATGCAAGGTTAGGCTGGGCCTGCGATCTCTCTCATGTGTTCTTCCAGGATCCAGGGTCACTCTCGGCACTGCGGTACCTGTCCCCAGGTAGCACCTGCCCCCACTTCTCCTTCCCAATGGGCTGTGACCCTGTTGAATCAGAGAATCATATCTCTTGTCCCTACATCTCTAGCATCCCAGGTGGAACATGACAGGCTCCTAGGGAATGAGAGAGGGATGGGGTCAGAGAAGGAGCGGGGGCAGAAAGGAAGACTCATTCACTAACTGAGGTGTATGAGAAAGTTCTGCACTCACTTATGCCTCCCAAGGCTTAGTGGGTGGAAGCCTTAACCCTGTGACTCTGCTTGGAGACAGGGACTTGGTGGGGTGAATGAGGCCAGGACAGGGGAGCCTGACCCAGCAGGGCTGGGACCTCACAGGAGAGACACCCAGAGTGGAGCGGAGACACAGCAAGGAGGCCACTGTCTGCACGCCACGGAGAAACTGAGCCAGCCCGCACCTTGGCCTGGGATTTCCAGCCTTCACCACCACAAAACACCGGTTTTCCTGGCGTAGGCCCTCCTCGGATCTGAGCTGTTTTGTTGATGGCAGGCCTGGCAGACTGTGGTAATAAAATGAGCAACCACAGTCTATGATCCCCAAGGTGGGGACAAAGAGAGGAGAAAGAAGGATGGGGGGGGCGGGCAGCCATCACACTGGGGACCACACAGCCTGGATGTCTCCTCAGGAGAGGACCTGCACAGGGAGACATACGCCCCGGCCACCAGGGCACAGCGCGGCCAGTGCCTGCTCTGAGACCACGCTGCCTGCCCTGCTGCTCCCAGCTCTCGGCTGAGCGCACAGCTCGGGGATGCTGGAGCCAGGGCCTCCCCACAAGCTGAACCCCTCCCGAGATGGGGCTGCTCCGGGCTCCTCTGCCCCTGAGCCTCTGCCTGCGCTGACCTGAGGCTCCGCCTGCCTCTGCCCTCTCTGCCTTCACAAGCCTGGGGCCCAGACACAGCCTGCTTCTCTCCACCTACCCCCGCTTCACCTCCTACGCCGTGTGCCCCAGAGTCTCTCTTGCTCAGTTATATTTATCTCTGTACTTATGTACTGGGGGTTAAACTCAGGGCCTTTGTGCTGAGCTACACTTGCAGCCCTCTTTCAATTGACTTTCAGAGAGCCTCCCACTAAGTCCTAGGTTGCCCAGACTGCGCTCCAAACTGCACCCTCAGCTTCCTCCGCTGGGATCACAGGTGTGCACTATCCCTTGTAGCATTTGCCCATTTAATTGTGTTTTAGTTTCCAAAAGAGCCAGCCTAACAAAGACTGTAGGTAGGGTACCTTCACTGAGCTCTGTTTGCTTTAGAATCTTCACCCGGTCACACTACCCTCGTAAACTGGAGATGACATGGCTCTATTCCTGTGGCACAGAGGAAGAAATCAAAATGATGGAAGGCGGGGCTCACCATGCTGGTACCAAAGAGCTGCCCCGAGGAGCTGCCCGGAGAGGGAAGCACACAGGCTCCACCGCCGCCCTCTGGCCAGCAGAGGCCTTTGCCCCTGGCTTCACCTCTGGGGAGGAGGCTGCCATAGTCAAGCCCTGAAGTGATCAGTCAGGGAAGGGAGGAGCCGTGCAGTAAGTGAGGGGGCTCTGGAAGCGAGCCCAGCGCACCAGAGCGGTCATCACCAGAACGAGCGCCTCACTGCTCCGCTGTGCAGGACCCAGCTTCCAGCCCCATCCTGCACTGATGACCGCACTGTCCCTGGTTACCATATGACTGGTGCGCACAGCCTCACAGAGGAAGGCAGCTTGAGGGAGCCCTTTGCACTTGGCCCAAAGGGACAGGGAACAAGCCCTGATGAGCACAAGAGGTGACTCAGGGCCACTGGGAAACTTTCATCAGAATGCACGGGTGTTGGCCATGTCCCCCCACTGCCCACCTGCCTCCAGATCCCGCCATTCGCTGGAGGGTCCCAAAGATCAGCCCAGTCCTTGGAGAGCGGAATCAAATTTCCCCATAGGTCAACATCAAACCTGTTCAATGAACCATTGAACCACTGAATTTGATTCCAATTCGGTTTGCCACCAACACCATGGAAAGAATTAAGTTTGTGAACCAAGGTACCACTGTGTTTGACAGTGTAAGAACAAGATATTCTGGAAGGACCTCATGCAGCACCCGGCAATGACAGAAGGGGTATTGTCAAGATGTTCCAAGCAGAAGGAACTCCTGAGCAAAGCAAAGAGATCTGAAACTGCGGCTTCTCAAGGATCCATTAGGGCCGCACTTTCAGAGCCTGCAGAAAATGTGTTGCCCAAAACTCGTCTGAGCGGTGGGCAGAGGGAAATAATACAGTGTGAGCTGCGCTGGTTGCAGAGGCTGGCAGCCCCTGAATCACTCTCAGCTCTTCTGCCTGCCTCCACTCTTCCTTCCAGCCCCTTCTCCCTCGCTCCCACTGCCCCAGCCTTGGGAAAGCTCCACTCTCCTCTCTCTTGGATTTCCACGCTGATGTTCTCAGGATGTTTTCCCTCTGCCTCAATCTAGTCCGCAGTCTGTCCACAGCACTCATTGCTATCAGAGCCATCGTTCCTAAGTGGGGGTGGGAAGATCACAGAAGGAGTAATCAAAGCCGCAGAAAAATATTAAGCATTGCCAAGCATTGTGTTAACCCTTGGCTATTTTATCCCATGTAATTCTTAGAGTCCTATGAGCCTCGTATCGCAGATGAACAAAAAACTAGATAGGGTTCCTGCCTAGCTTAAAAAGGCCTTGAAAGCGCTGAGAGCCCCATCCCTCACAGGCCTGGAGTGATCATTCCATCCTGGATGGGGTTTAGGACACAGCATCCCAAAACGTGACTCCAGGAGACTGAAATCCGCCACCCCCATGCATTTCTTTAACACAAAATGTTTTATGTACTGATGGTTTTGAGCTGGTCATTTTGAGAAGCTGAAAAGTTGCCCTTTTGTAAGAGAAATTTACATCTACTAAAAAGAAAACAAAAATAAAAACACACAACCTCCTTTGTAAGTATCTCTTCCTCTTCCCACCAGGAAGGTGATGGCTAAATCCTTAGAGGCTCTAAAGCAATGGAGAAACCCTGGACTTCAGCCTGCACAACAAATGTGACCTTTGTTGAGGGTGCATTTTCTAGTCACCTTGTCTCAAAGGGGACATTGAACCCTAAAGTTCAAACGTTTCCTCTGTGATCTACCCCAGATATTTACTCATCTCTCTGAGGTTTTTTTCCCCATGGATGCATAAGGCATAAATGTTAATAAACTTCTGTTTGTTGTTCTCTTGTTAATCTGTCTTTTGTTCTAGGGCATCACAGCTAAAAACCATGAAAGACAGAAAATTACTTTTCCTTCCCTACAGTCCTGCAAACATCAGTGGCACCCCATTTCCTACAAAGGATGCTCAGGATGGCATCAAGGGTCACCCAAAGTCCCTAGGTCGGCTCTGCCCACTCAGGCCCCTGAGGTGGGCTCCAGCTCTGTGCACAGTCACCAGGTGCTGCCACACATCCCTGTCCCTCTCCTTCTCACACAACCTCCTGATGTCCTTCCTCTGATAAAGTCCTTGCCAGCTCCAGTCTTCCAGAAGTGCTAGTGGAAAATGCCTCCTCCAGCAGGACTTTCTAAGTTCCCAGCGTGGGTTGGTTCTCCCAGCTCAGTCTCCACAGCACGTGCTCATACTGTACGGTGAGGGGCACACACGCTACCCCTTGGCCTGTAAGGTGCCCCTCATCTCTGGTTACACTGAGGAAGGTGTCTTCTCCACCCCGCGCCAGCCCTGGAACCAATCATGATTGTCCAATGATCATACGAAAGAACAATATCAAATACATCTTTAAAACTGACTAAGTTCCATTAACACCAGATCTTTTCAAGCTATTAGATCCCTGCCACAGCCAGCTACCTTGACAAATAAAATAGGCTTCAGCCTCCCTACAACCAACAGATTTCTTGAAGACTCGCCACACATGGATGGTCATAATGTGCAATGGTGGAATTCTACTTCCCGGCCAGCCACCTGCTTCTCATTAAGCAAACATTCTTGAACTCTCGCTATGTGATTTATACTATGTCGGATCTGGAGGAGGTAGTCCCAGGGACCTAGCTATTGTCAAGGAGTTTTGTGGACAGTGGGAAAGAGGAACATCTGACTCCAGTACTATACACTAAGCACCATGAGCAGGATGGGCCAGGAATGCAAAGAAAACATAGACTACAGAGACCCAATACCTCCAAACAATGAGGCCAAGCATTAAAGGGGTACTGTCAGAGCCTAATGCTAGCAGCATTTTGTTAACACAAAGACCTCTGGAAGCAGAGGCTAAGTGAGTGCTGAGTGGTCATGTTGACTCAAAGCGGGTGCAATTGCACTAGGCCCATATCATAGCAATGGCAAGGACATAAAAATGATAGGGTTTCTTACCCTCTTAGCTTTGAACCCACTTCTGGACTTTAGGGTTGCCCTGCTTTCTGTACCTTGATCACAGGCCAAGTCCTCCTCACTACAGATTCTCAAAATCTATAGATCCTTATCTTCTATATTCCTGATATCTAAATTATGGCAGGTGATCTGGGCTCATCCAATGACATGCATCTGCTGAGGACTTTAAACCTAGGGTTAATGACTTAAGAATTAGGACATGGGGATGTCCTGTTCTGATGGTACCAGTGGTGGCTGTGAGAAGAGTTTCCCAGGTCACGGGGCACAGCACACTCTGAGGTCTCCAGTGGCAGGGTCAGGACAGTGCAGCCATGCAGTCATGGAGAGCAATGATAACTGGCTGTTTTCACTTGCGAGTCTGCAGAATGATTTTTCTGTGGGTTTGTTGTTGTTGTTGTTGTTCCATTTCCCTCCTGCCTTCCTCTCTCCCTCTGTCTCTCTGCCTCTCTGCCTCTCTCTCTGTCTCTCTATCTCTCTGTCTCCCTCTCCCTCTCTTTCTTTCCTCCCCTCCTTCCATCCTTCCTTCTCTCTCCCCTCCCTCTTTTCCTCTCTTTCTTGCTGGGGCTTGATCTTAGAGCCCCTCACACATGCTAGCTAATTTACTACTACTGGCACTAATTTACACCTCCAGGCTCTGCACTTATTTGCTATGTCTCATTTCTTTACCTTCTTGATGATTCTGTGACCTAGGCACTACCTCCTTAGTCTGCATTTCCTAGAAGTATACCTTGAACAAGGCTTTAGAAAGTGATCTTGGTAGGACGGTTTGGAAGGAAGCCAACAGAATGTGCATAAATAAGAGTGTTACTGTTGGAGGAACCCAGAGTTCAGTCTTTCTGGAATACTCTCCAGCATTGTCCCTCCTCAGAAATGAAGAAGCTGCAGTATCTATCTTCCAATCCCCATCCATCAGTGGTTGAGGATTTCTCTCATCTAACAACTCCTGGAATTTCCAGTCTGCTCATGAGTGGGCTCAGAGAAATCCTGCAAGAAGATAGTTATAAACACCCATATCAAGATGCCCTCAGCTTGCATTGGAAAAATAGAGCCCACAGTATACGGGGTGAATCCTCAGCTACCACTACTTTACCTCTTCAGTAAATTATTTTTTACTTAAATTAGGCCTCATCAATTTCTGTTGCTTGCAATCAAGAACCCTGACAGAATTTGGGCATGAGAAGGGACAGAAGAAGGTAATATAATCAAAGTTTTAAAATCTTGAATTTATCTTTAGAGTAATGGGGAGCTCTTAAAATGTTTCAGGCAGGGCAAATGTTTCAGATTTATACTTTAGAACATTCTTGTAGGTGGCACCAATATAAAACCATTGGCAGCAGTCAGGGAGCTATTTCATGACTCAAATGGAAGATGTTTAAAAATTTACCCTTAAAATCCTTATTGAAATGAGTCCTAAAATGGGCTCACTTTGTAGTCTGAGCTACATAGACATCAAGTCTTATTGGAGGATGAATGTTATTTGTTATAGCCTTAAAATAAATTTAATAACACTGAAAACATCTACTGTGATAACTGCCATATATCAGGAAAACATTTAAATGAAGTCCATTCCACTGAAGTTTACCTTTGGGTTTGAGGGTTAGTAACATACTCATGTATATAAAAATTTTTTTGGAAGTTTTTCTTGTTTCCTTCTCTCCCTCATTGTTTCTGTCCCTCTTTTCCTTCCTTCTTCTTCAGATCTTTAGAAACACATATCTACCAGCATCTTGACTCTCTGCCATGTGGCTTACTAACAGTGCTAGCCAAGTGGACTCTGATTCAAATGAACTGTTAAAAATGCAGGGGCCAGGGATGTAGCTCAGTGGCACCATGCCTGCCTCACAAGCACAAGGTCCTGATTTCAATCCCTGGCACCAAAAAAAAAAAAGCAATAAAAAATTGGACACTGTGTATTTAGTCCATTTGTGAATTTATAACAAAAATACCTAAGATGGAGTAATTTAAAAAGAACAGAAATGTATTTCTCACAGTCTTGAAGGCTGGGAAGTCCAAGATGGAGGTCTTGTGCTTCCCCTGTGGCTACATCCTCCAGAGGGAAGGAGTGCTGTGTCCTCACATGGCAAAGTGAAAGGCAAACAGACTGAAGGGTGCCAAAGCCTTTTGCATGAAAGCCTGAATACCATTCACTAAGGGTGGAGGTGTCGTAACGGGCCAACATTCCAAAGCCCCACCTAATACTGTCACTGGCCACTGTGCTTCAACACCAAATTGTAGAGCAATCAAGTTGAAGCATAAGCAGGGCTGTGACAAAAAGGGAAACTGAGGCTCAAAAGGGAGTCTGTGGCAGGTGCTCCATTTCTCTCTCCCTCCTACAGCTTTCTCTCTGTTCCCCACCCACTGGTACCTCAATGCTTCCCCTTAATGATGGACAAGAGAGATGAGATGAGCCCTGGAGAACCTTGAAGGAGGCGAGGTGCGCTGCCCTCTGTCATTATCCCTATGTCTTCAAAAGCACAGAAGGACCCAGCAGCAGAGTGAGTGTTTTCCACACTCTCTTATTCCCATGCCCTATCCCTGCCCTGCCACTAGTATCTCAGAAAGGGCACAGGACTCAGGAGGCATTTGGCTCAGCAATTTCCAAATTTCACAAGGAGACACGGAATTAGACCGTCACCGTTTTACAACACCTTTGAATGAATGGCTCAAGACAATAAACATGGATGGTGTCTATCAAACATTCTTGAAAAAAAAAAAATATAGAACCTGAGTCTGACTGAAAAGGACATGTTAAATTAGCGATGGTGAACCTTTTAGAGCTTTCAATGATAGCAAACAGTGGTAACAAACCCGGCTGCAGCACAAGTGCCATAGGTTCGCCACCCTTGTTAAATGATCATAAGAACCCAATCTGTAAAATCCATGTGGGAAACTCTAGAAGAGAAAAAAAAACAGGTCTTCAACAATAGCAAAAGACATAGAAAACAGAAATAAAAAGTAAATTTCAAGAACAAAAATAGAGAGAGATACTATAGATTCAACCAATCAGCATATAGAGAACCTAACCGGATCCTGATTCAAACAAACTGTTTAAAAATGCAATAAAGAACTGGACACTGTGTTTTTATTGCGTACTGCATAGTATTAAGTAATCACTGTAGAATGTTTGCTGTATGACAATCACATTGCGGTTATGTACATTTCAGAAAACAAAGCCAAAATAAAGTCCCCCTCTTTTAACAGTGTGTCACCATTATCCTACTATGTCAACCTTGGTGAATTAAGAAACATCTAGCATGTTAGCAGAGGGCATGCCTGAGTGTGTCTGGGAAGGGCTTGGGGGTGTGGCTTTGGGTACTATTTATGGTCCCTCCTTTCTTCCTGTCTGGTAAGGCTTCCCAGCTCTGGTCCCTGGCCACCATGAAAGAAGCAGCTTTGCTTGGCCAAGCTCAACCAGGATCTTGCTGCCTTGGAGCCAGCTGACTGCAGACCGAAGACCCCTCTCCTCCTTTAAGTTGTGTTCAGTATTTTGTCCAGCAATGGATGGGAAAGCTGACTCATTCATGGCACGTACTGAAATACTTATGATTAAACATTACCTGTGGAATCGCCTCCAATTGTTTCACTGGTCATGGAGGTGAGGATTCAGTGGGATGCTAGATGTAAACAATATTGGCCAAGATTTGATCACTGTTGGAGCTCAGCATGGGGGGGGTCTAGGAGCTCATTATGATAAAAGATTTTAAAATGGTACTACATTCTGTGTTAGTTATTTTCTTTCCCTCTTTGTTTTCCCATTCCCCCTTATCATTTGTTTCCACCCCCTACACTCATGGAGTAATCAAGAGTGACTGTGGCCTGAGCTTTACTTCTGCTGCTCTCAACCTCTGGGGTGTCCTTCTCTCCCTTCTTCCAGTGGTTCACTCTTTAATAAGAACCAGTGCAAAAATACAAGCTACAAAATGTGCTCCTCATCTTTGTTGGAGAGAAGATGTGATCATTCCTTCACTGAGCACCCCGAGCACAAGATACCACTTTGGTGGTTGTAATCAGGTAGGATAAGTAGAAAGAAGAGGAGGAAAATCATAATTCTAAAACTACTCTACAAACTCCATCTTCAGGACACAAAATTACCCAAGGTTACAATTACTTTCTTTTCTCCTTTCTGGGATACTCACTCCTAAATTCCTAAGTCTTAAAAACATACATCTGATGGGAAGTGGGCCATCATCTTTAACTTGTAGAAATGGTTGCTGCCTTTCACTTGTTAACTGAGACCATTAAAACATTCACAAATTCCACAGATTCCGACTCTCCAAAACACATAAATTAATTTATACAGCTCCAGACCATAGTGCCTCCCACACTATGTGACCCTACACTGTCTTCTGAGTGTGTGCTTTTATTCTGCCAATTAAATCTTTTCTATGCCTCTTCCTGCCTGGTCCTGACAAATCTTGTTATGTGAAGGGAATCAGTGAACCTATTTTGGTGGCAAAATCTTCTCCACCAATGCATATGGCCAGGAGAGCAAAGCTGGCATGTCCACCGGAGCGTGGGCCACTCCTCCCCGTCACTCTTTCATTCATCCATCGCCTCTTAAGAACCTACTGCGTGCCCAGTGCCATACCTCTGTGAATGAGATGGAGATGAATGAGCCTCAGACTCTACCCTTAGAAGAGTGTACGACATTTGGTGAGAAAGGCAATGAGCCATTTCATGTGACATGGACCTAGGCGTGACAGATTTCAGTGGAAACACAAGGAAAGAAGAACCCAGCAGAAACATTCCTGAGATGAGACTGAAAGGGTAAAAATATGCTCAACGGGAAAGACAAGATGCAGCAGGGCCAGCTCAGCCAAGCAAAGTGCATGCCAAGAAGACCTGTGAGCAGAGGCCGCACGGTGTATGGGGACAGATACTCATGGTCTGACAAGGAGGGGAATGAGAAGAGCCCAGGACCATGTCAAAGAGAAACTTGTCTAAAAAGTTGTTGCGTCTCCAGTGCCCAGCAAGACTCACCACACAAGCCCCACATGATCGACAAGAGCAGTCACCAAGAGGCATACCCACAGAGGCATACCCACAGAGCTCCCAACACAGCCTTCTAAGCAGTGCAACAAGGAGCGGTGGAGTTTTCTTCTTTTTCCTTCTTCTTTTCTTTGGTCCATATTATTCAGGGTCAAGGTAAACCCCAGGCGGAAAAGCCAGGAATGGGCAAGTCGGGTTAAAAGAAAGCAGCCTTCTGATACCTTCATGCTAGGCCTCCATCTCTCCCATTCTGAGTTGGGGAAGGCTGAGTCCCAGTTCACTCCTGGCAGAATTCCAAACCTGAAGCCCAGGGGCCAATGGCTTCCTCTTTACCCAACTCCATGTCAATCACATGGCTTTGCTGTAGCTCCATAGCTCTCACTCTAAGTTTTCCTTTGATCATTATCTTGTCCCCTGTTCCAAGCGTGTTCTCTGTCAGGCCCAGGCAGCAGGGGAGAGAAGCTGCCTGCTAGCAGACTGACTGCAGATTCCTGGAGGCTGCAGCCATTGGAAGGCCCCATGCTGATGCTTTGCTGGCTGGACTTCAAAGTGGAGCCCCTCACACTGAAACACCAGGGGGAGATGCACAAACTATCTCCAGAGGCCTGGCGGGCTCTCAGCTTCCAGCAGAGCTGCTCCCTGAGGAGGAACAAAAGGTATTCGTTAAAGTAAACCAGAGGTGGAGCGGGATGGAATTTTAATCAGCTACTAAATGCAACTGGCCAGAAGACTGTTCTCCCCTGGGCCTCAATTGCCCCATCTATAAAATGAATGGGTTGATGATCTTTCAGGTGCCTTTTTGTTATTCAGCACATACGTATTTCCAGGAAGACAGATGTTCAGATGGTCAAGAGCTGGATGGGTGGATGGACAGATGGGTGGACATGGATGGATGGACAGGTGGACAGATGGACGAATACATAAAAACAGCAGAATGGATTACAGAAAGACAGGCAATGAATGATTTTTAAAGGTGACTAAGAGATGATAGGAAAATAGAAGCTAGTTAGGTAAGAAGACCAAAAAGAAAGATGGAGGGAGAAAGGGCAGGAGGGAGAGATCACAGCAGAAATAACATAAGACAAGTTGGATCCAAACAAGAGCAAGATCTAGATTGGAACTGTTTCACTGGTCATTAGCAGAGTTTAGCCAGTTCCAAAATCTGTACACGGTGTCAGGTTTTGACTTCTCTGTCACTCAAATTTTTCAACTGAAGTTACAGAATGGACTAGTACGATGCTATCAAGATGGATAAAGTTGCATCATTTGTAGGACAATGGATACACCTCGAGACCATAATATCAAGTGAAATAAGTCAGGCACACAAGCTTAAATCGCACATAGTTTCTCTTATAGGAGAAACCTGAAATCTAAATAAATTAAAAATCAAATGAATAGGAAAGAGGGAGATAAACCTTTTTCAGATGGGAAGGGGACCGAAAGATGAAGGGATCAGGAAGAGAAGGGAAGTGGAAAGGATGTAAAAAAGAATTAAGACGTGTCACGAACATGTACTAACTCCCCACAATGAATGTGATCCATATGAGCCAAGCATTTTCTAATAACAATAAAATTTACACAGATTGCCTCATATTGCCTCATAATGTCTGTGAAATGTAAAATAACCAAAAGCTTCTGAAGCAGTAGAGAATTTCTTTGGTTCACAGAATTGTTCAAAAAACAAGATATATGCAAATAATAAATAAATGAATAGATAAATAAGTAAATTCTAGACTTGAATACACAACCGCCTGTTTAACATCTTCACTTGGCTGTCTCCCAGCTATCTCAAAGTCAGTGTGCTCCAAAGTGACATTCTAGAACACCCCAAATCCCTCTATGACCTGCCCGTCTTTGATATAACTGTGCCCGTCACATTTCTTAGGCACAAATGTGGGCGACATTCCCGACTGACCCCTCCTACTCACTAACCCATGTTTAAGTTCTCACACGTCCTATCGAGTAAAGCCTAAACACTCAAGCCACTCACTTCTCCACTCTTTGCCAACCCCATGCTACATCAAGAATTCAACATCGTTTTGTGTGGGTGGTTTCCGATGCCTTCTGATGTTCTACTACCTGCGCCTGCAGCTGATTTCTCACTCCTTCATTCTAATGTCCGCAGAACAGTGGCGAGATGCTAGCATACAGGTGATAAACCACACCATTGCACTTGGCCTCTCAATATCCTTTAGCACTTAAGAGATCATCCAAATCTTTTATCACAGCCACCAATGCCCTATCCCTGCCCAGCCATGGTCTCAGCTAAACCACATATTGTATCCTGCTCCTCCAAGCCCAGGCTGGGACTGTACTGCTTTCTCTCAAAAGCTCAAGTGTACCAAGTTATTTTTCATGGCGGAATTTTCACTCCAGTGCTTCTCTATTACACCAGTCTGACCCCTACCCTTTCCATCTCTTAGGCTGATTAATTTCTACTTATCTTCATAGTGGGTATCATTCAAAGGATTTTCTCTGGCTCTCCAATTAAATTAGGCTCCCAGGTGTACCCTCTCTCACACTCTCTATTTTTCCTCATCCGTATCACAGTATGAAGCTCTGGATTTCTCTATGTGATCACTTCTTTCAGGTCTGTCTTCTGAATCACATTATAATGCCTATAGGGATATAACTGCATATTTATTATGTTTGTTATTGCTCACCACTGTATGCCTAGTGATTTGTTTCATGCCAAATGCACATCATAAACATTGTCGACCTGTTGTGTGAACAAAGTATCTTCAGTGGTTCCTAATAAAAAATAATGGTGTGAGGCAATATCTTAAATAGTGTTTCAGACCGAATTTCCTAGATCATTGGAATCCCATGATTCAGAGTCAAAGAGAAACTAAAAGATTTCCCATCAACCCACAACCTGGAACTTGAAGATCTTTATTTTCCAAACCTTGGTGACATTCTTCCTTAAAAAAGAAATGTTGGGCAGGGGATTTAGCTCAGTGGTTTCGCTGCCTGCTGTGCAGGTGCAAGGACCTGAGTTCGATCCCCAGTACCAAAAAAAAAAAAAAAGAAAGAAAAAGAAATGTTACTGATTGTATTGTGACAATAGAATTGACTTTTTTCTTTTTAACTATTTTCCAATAGGTTGTTATTTTCTTACTCTTACCATTTTCGCCTCCTTGGCTTTCCTGAGCAACAGAATTGAATCCATGTGATAAGTGAAAAGTTTGCCCTGGTTTTGTTTACTATCAGCATCGCTACAGTAAACAAACATTTACTGACCAGGAGCCTTCTTAATGTGAGCTTCTAGGTTCAGTTTTTGCAAACGAGGTAAGTATAGAGTCCAAAATGTTAACCATGTTCCTCCAAGTCACAGCTGAAAAGTGCTGAAACCACAACACTAATATAAATGTCTGACTTCAAAATCCACCAATGCAAAAATCTAGAAACTAAGACAATCCTTGAAGCAATGTATCAGTAACCACAAAGACTGCTGACCAGTTCTACAAGGCCATGTCTAGGCTCTCCATCGTCCACCAATTAAATTTCCTTTTATACCTAGCAACAACTTTTTTAACTACCTCATAATTTATTTTATTTTTAGAATCAGGAAATTGATACCTACTCCAAGAAAATACGTGCAAAATAAATACAGATATTACTTAATTATTAACTAATCCATTTGTGATTCAATCTACCAGAGACAATGTCATTTACGTTAACAGCCCAAATAACTAAGGCTTCATCATGATAATGACATGTGGTAACACTGCTTTTCATAGAAAAAAGTAGATATGAATGCTTTTGTTTGTTTTTCAAATCACCAAACATCACTCCATAACTTATCCTGCAATGTTAATCAAATGATCTTAGCTGGTTAATAATGACCAACTCATTTGCAAGTTTCAAAGGACATGTACAGAATTTGCCAAAGTGAACCACAAAACGATGCCCAGTCCGGTTAATGTTTACAGCCAGGCAGTGCTCACCTCCACTAAAAACCAGCCTTGCGCATCTCTCCTGCAGAGAGGCACAGCTCAGGCCAGGAGTAAAGGTGGGCTCCAAGATAAAGAGTAACCCGGCCAGAAAGCTAAGGTTCAAACATGCCTGGTTTCTATTAACTGGAATTGCAACAGTCTCTTTGAAGGCCAGGAACATTCCACCCTCCACACCTAAAAATGACTGCTTTCTGCAAGGTAGTGGATCCCGAGAAAGATTCCAGGTCAAAGATTTGATCTCTCAGTTGATCCTTTCAGGCTTGATTTTAGGAAAGTTGTTTTTTGAATAAGAACAGTAATATCTGCTTATTAGGGGGAAAAAAACATGGAAAACAGTAGTCATCACAAAGAAGAATTAGCCAAGATCCAATCATTATTAATGTTTTTGGAAAATATATAACAGAATGAAGTCACACACATTTTTTTACATACAGTCATACTTTGGTACTTGACTTTGGCTTTGACATGCATGCAATTTGGTACTTGACACATCTTAGCATGAACATTCTGTTCCGGTACTAGTTGTTTGGTACTTGAAGCTAGAACTTGTTGGTATCATTTGCCTCATGAATCACTACCCTTTCCAACCAAAGTAATTTGTTTGGTAGTTGAGCCTCCTGGAATCAGTCAATGATGATTGTAGTGCATTGTTATAGTGTGAATATCCTTTTTAACTCTTTAATGCTGCTTGGTTTCCAAGCGAAAGCAAACATGTTAATGTAATTAGCCCCATTTGACATTTGGACATTTTGGCTGCTTCCAATTTATCCCTATCTTACATATCACAGCAATTATATCCTTTCTAGGGAAGGGTGGAGGGCGTGAAGGGAGGGCTAGGAATGGGGAAACAATAAAAACCAAGATGCATTATGTAAAGGTACAATTCCCAATGAGAAATGTATACCTACAATGTACCAATAAAAGAATTTATTAAAAAAAAAATTATATCCTTTCATTCAACAGTTCATTCTACAAGGATCTATGGGGCACATACAATATTAATCTGTATAGTCCTCAAATTTTTGTTTACTTCATTAATTAATTTTTAAGATCAAATTTCTAGAGGTGGAATTATTGACCAAAGCATACTATGCAGATTTTGGTCAGAATAGTCCATTGCTTCCTCAGTAGGCTGTACCACAGACCCCTCAGTCAGCCCATATGAGAACACTTCTCTTGCTCATCCTTACCAAGGAGGACACTAGTGTTTTCAGGGGAGTTTTACTCACAGTGGTCAGCAGGCGAGCAGTGTCAGCGCCATGTGGAAATGTACATTCTCAGCTCCACCTCTGAAACCTATTCAGTCCCACTCCGCTGGTCGTGCACTTGGGGCCCAGCACTGAAGCCCTTCACTGCATTGTGTGCTGCGTAAAGTTTGAGAACCCCAATTCTGAGCACAAGAAACAGCTCTGAGCGGTGCCTCTGGCAAGCTCAGTCTCCCCTGGCCACTCCCATGGACTGCCTTTCTCAATAACCCTTCCTGACTCTTCTGCAGAGGCCTCAGGAGGTGTAAACTTGGCTTGAACCTAGCTGGCAAGAAAACAAATTGAAGTGGACAGTGTGCAGCGATAAACGGACCAGAGGAAAGTGACTTTCTGCAGAGAAACTGTTCTCTGCAGCATGTGGGGTCTGGACCGTTAGCCGGAAGGTTGGCTTTAAACATCTGTCCCGTCTCACTTGTAACACTGCGACCCAGGACAGCTATGTAATTCTCTTGTTGCCCTGGTTTTGCTTTCATTTATCAGGAATAAAACATCCCATCTTGCATGTTGTTGCAAGGTTCATATACAATAAGCTGTGTGAAACGCTTTGGAAACTATAAAACACTGTCCACGTTAGGAGCTAACGTATTTATCAGAGACCTCGGTCTGGACAGAGGGGAAGGTTGCTTTTCTGTGCAGAGTCCCTTTTCCCCCCTTTGACCATGAAATTTGCTTCTTCCTGTAAACCTTCAAAGGCTCCATTTATCAGCCGTCAGAGTACAAAGCAAGCAGCTTCCTTGGCCTCCTTTTGAGGGGTATCGCTTACACTTCCCAGCTGGAACATTATCCTCCTTATCTGCAGACTGCAGAATCGCATGGCCTACCACCTCTCTACGTCGGATAGAAAGTGACTTAGATGGAACTCCCTAGCTGAGAGAACGAACCAGACTGTGAAAGTTCAGTGCACTGCTGGGGAAAGCAGCCTAATATTTAGAGCTCAAAGAAAAGAGCTCAAATCCTGATGCTCTTACTAGGAGAAAGACAGTGTCTTTGGTCATCACAAGGATAATAGCCAAAGGAGAACTTCTGATGGCCCCTCACAAACCTACTTTCCCTAGATTGTCCCATCTCACAAAATAATTCCTTGACTTCCTGCACCAAAAATAGGAATTATCTTTGATGTCTTTCTTGCTCTTACTTTCTAGATCAGTAAATTCTGTGGATCTTCAGAGAGCTACTTAACTGTCAGTTCCTCTGTCTGAAAAATAGAGAATAACAATGTATCTCATCTCAGGCTGCACAAGAATGAACCCGGATAATAACTTTTGGTCCTTGACCATGGACTCTGCTGAAAACACCAAGTGCTGCACCGTGAAAGGTGGCATCTCCAAGACCCATCACATATTTATTCTTGGACATAAGTGGCAATCTTGGCACTAGACAGGGGACACCAAATGAAAAGGTCAGGAAGCTCCCTGCTTCCCTGGAGCTTGTAATCCAGCATATGGAAAAGTAGATGATCCCTGGAGGAACAGACAAAAGAAACAGTAAGAATTTCAGATTGTGGTTAAGTGTTATCCGAAGACGAACTTTAAAATATGATGATGTGATACAAAATGTCACATTTAGGCTGAAGTAAAAGACAAGGTGCACACAAGCCATGAGAACAAGGTGACAGAACAGGATGCTCCAGACAGAGGGGACTGTCGTGCAAAGGCTGTCAGGCCTGAGTGAACATGGACAGATTAAGGAATCACAGGACGAATAACACGGCTGGGACGTGGATCTGCGGATCATGCAAGGAGAGGTGGGAAGCAGAGGCAAGAGGCTGTGGAGGCTTATCAGAGGGCAGGCTCGAAAACCAAGGCAAGGAATCTGCTTTGTCTTCTCCAGTCACAGGGAGGCCAACGGAGCGTTTCACACAGCAGAGTGCTTAGGTCTTTTTTGCCTTTTAAAAGATCATTCTGAGTGCCTTGTGCGGAGATAAACAGGAAGGCGTCCCTTGAGCAAGATGTGTGACAGGCTTGGTGAGAGGATAGTAGCTTGGGCTGGTATGAAAATGAGGATGTGGAAAGAGGGCATAATTCTGGGTCTGTTTTGAAGGGACCAGCCAAAGGGCATAGTGCCTAATTAAATGTGGAATACATACGGCAGAAGAAAGAGTCAGACAACAGAGGTTTTCAGGGTAAAATACCGTGAAGCTACTTAAACTAAATGGGAAAAGTTCAGAAAAAGCAGTTTTTCAAAGGGAAATCCCAAGTTCTGATTTGTCCCTGTTATTCTTATGAAGATGTCAGGCTGGCTCTTAGATACTTAAGTCTGAGGCTTTGGGGTATGTTCTGGGCTGGAGGTAAACATTCAAGAGCCATTGGTGTCTCAGATTCCATTCAAGGATCTACTTGGTAAATTTTTGTGTGCTATCATGTTCCATATTCTTTGCTATATCCTAAGAAAATACAAATGAACATAGCTTCTGCCTCAAAATATCCTCCGGAACCTGGTGGGAAGGGGGCTCCTAAGTTCTGTCCGTCCCAGATGGAGGTGCACTAGAAGCCTCTGCCGCACACCTGGGCCTCTCTGGGTCTCAACTCCACTGCTTCTAGGTGGGGGTAATACTATGTGTCTTGCTTACAGGGTCACAAAAGTCTCAAAGGAGTTGGTGTAGGTGGAAGAAAATGGAATACAAGGGGCTGCATTATCATCCCACTGTAAAGAGGGGGAAAGCTGCCACTGCCGTGAACAGTTTATTAACAAACTTACCAGCAAAGCACAGGGCTAAGCTCTGGCTGATAGAACTTAAATGTGTGGTCTATCTACTCAGTGCAGCAGGAAATGTAACTCCTTACAAAGCCAGTGTTACTGAGGGCGTATTTGCATGAGGCCTGAGGTAGGGGAGGAAAGCTCTTCGGATGCTGCAGTGGGGAGATAGACAGCTACTGAGAAACAGGCACAAAGAACAAGGCAGGTGTTGGTTCCTGACACCTCACCTTGACTCTGGCCGAAGTTCAATCTTCAAACTTTTTACCAAGGATGTCACACTATCCAGTTATGAGAGCAGTAAGTCCTGGATTCAACCTTTGACACTCCCCCTAAGAACTCTGCCACATGTGACCAAGACATACAATACAGGTGTGACAATCATCTGCTAGGTATTTGTGAAGATTTATCAGGACATTCAAAGCACATCACATGGAATGTATGCTCAAAATGAGTGCCTTCAAATGTCTCAACCTCAACACCAGGAACGGCGTATGAATTTACATAAATCTTGACTCACCCAGGAGGCCCGATGTGGGCTCTGTTACTCTGGCTGTGGCCACCACTGAGCAGAATGGAGGTGGTGTATATGTTTGTGGAATGAGCAAATGGCATGCAAAGTCCTTGAAGGACACAGTAAAGGACCTCTGGCTAGAAATGCCTTTCCCCATACTAAAGACCTTTCCCCACTGAGCCCACCTGGTGCCCAGAAATCGGAAAAAATCAACTTTATGGTTCACAATTTCAGTAGTACCTTTGTTCAAGAAGACTGACATTGGAGCTCAATGGGAGAAAAAAAAGAAAAGTTCTCGTCAGTATATAATTACCTTAGTTTTCTCCCTCCCCTCTAACTAAAGGAAAGCCTCACTTTGACAAAGGGAACATTAAAACCTGCTTCGGCTCTAGCAGGTTATTATAAAATGTCTTTGTGAAGACTTCTTTCCACATGATCATCTCATACAGCTGGGAGAATATTCATCCCAATAAATTTTGTTCGCCTTGTGAAAGTTGAATTGCACAAAAAGGTAATGTTTTCTCAAGCTAACATTTTCTAAGGTTTTCCAGTGGGACACTTGGCCTGCACAATGCTAGTGGATATTCCTCAGAGGGAAGGACTCCATGACATCTAGCTTTAGTAAGGACAAGGGTAAAACTAAAATCCAGGACAAGCATTGAAGAGCTACTTTTCCTGTCAAATTATTTCATCTTTAATATACTAATGTGTATTGCCAACCTCCAATACAGGGCCAAATTCTTTGGATTTCTATAGTACCTCACAGAACTTGTCACACTTTGGGAAATGTTAAAGTTCAGATCTGGAGTGTTCCCAAAGGCTTGTGTGTTAAAGGATTGGTCACCAAACTGCAGTGCTATTGGGAGGTGCTGAAGCCTTTGAAAGGCAGAGCCTGGTAGAAGGGAGTGAGGTCCCGGGAGGTCCACTCTTGAATGGCCCCTCGCTCCCTCCCCCTCTCTCTTTGCTTCTCAGTTGCCATGAGATGAACATACCTCATCCACTGTATGCTCCACCATGATGGAGGCCCAAACAACCAGGGACTGAAACCTGTGAAACCATGAGCCAAAATAACCCGCTCCTTCTTTAAATTACTTATCTTTCAGCAATAGAAGTTTAGTACAGATTTCCAAATCCTTTCTGACCAAAATCAGCTGATTATTTCTTGCCATACACAATTCAAACTGAAACTACAAACAAGCTGAGAGTGTTTGAATACCTCAGAAATATTTTCTTATTTATTCATGTGAGGATTCACTTATTCCTCAACATACCAAGGTCTAACTGAAAAATATGGTAAATGTTTAACTTTTAAAAACATTATTATGGTAAAGAACACATTGCCATTAATCATCTTCGAAACATTCCCCCTTGCTTGGAGCATCATTTTTGCCACTTCCTGCAGCAGTTATGAAAATCCTCTTTTGTGAATGTCTTTAGTTCCATTGTTGAGGTTGCCTCAGTGTCCTGAATCCATTCAAAACACTCCCTCATGATCATTTTGATTTGAGGAAGAGTCAGAGTCTCCAGGTTTCCAGAATCTGTGAACAAGGTGGATGAGGACACACCTTAACGTTTTTACAAATTTGCTTTTCTGTTGAATAGTAACCTGGTTCAAGCAATTTTGTAATGTTTTTATTTGACAGAAATTAGCACACGAAAAGCAAACTGCAACATGGACCATTGTCAAGACGAAAGATGGAAACCATTTGCCCATTTCTCCTGCCATTTTCTAGGCTCATCATTTCTTAAATTCTCTGATAAACCCTTGTAATATTCGGAGTTTAATGTAGTGCTCCAGGGTACAAAGTCAGGCCTCACAATTCCATCAAGGTCAGAAATACAAGCAGCATCACCTTGATGTTGGATCTTGATTGGTGCCTTTTTTAAAACAAGAGAACTGCATGATTTGCATTGAGATCTCTGAAACTTGGTCTCAGGATCATGACCACAGCCCCAAATTTCATCTCCCATGAAGACATTTCTTAGAAAGCTGGAATCTGGTGCATCATAACCACAAACTCCAATGAAACTAACAAATGCTGTTGCTTCTGTTCCACAGTCAAAATCTGTGGAACAAATTTCTCACTTGCCTTATG